AAAAAAAAAAAAAAAAGCTTCCTCAGATGACACATTGAGCACACAAAGAAATACCATGAAACTAAGGAACTTGAAGCTTCAAGGTCCCTCACTGGCACAGGCCTTTTCCAGCCTCCCAGCAATTTTGTTTTGTGATTTTTGTTTTTTCTTTTTTTTTGAGACAGAGTCTCAAGTTATCCCCCTGGGTAGAGTGCCGTGGCATCACAGCTCACAGCAACCTCCAACTTCTGGGCTCAAGCGAGTCTCCTGCCTCAGTCTCCCAAGTAGCTGGGACCACAGGTGCGCCTGCCACCACGCCTGGCTATTTTTTGGTTGCAGCTGCCTGGCTATTTTTTGGTTGCAGCCGTCATTGTTGTTTTGGCAGCCCGGGCTGGATTCGAACCCGCCACCTTAGGTGTACGTGGCTGGCGCCTTAGCCACCTGAGCCACAGGTGCCGAGCCGATTTTTGTTTTTTTTCAAAGGTCTCCCAGAATTGCATTAGACCCACAAATCATGGATCTGCTCTTGGGTAGGGTAAGGGAAAAACCACTTTAGGTTTTCTGGTCAGAAGTTAAAAGCACAATTTTCAACTGGAAGGGTCAGCGAGATTCCAGACCAAGGCATTAGAGCTACGCTTGAGAAAAACACAACTCTGAGCAGGGCACAGTAGTAACAGCCTGAACAGAGGATGCGCGGGAGAGGGTGGTCCCGAGAACCGCGATAAGTCAGGCAGGAAGGTAAGCTTCGTTTGGGGTTGGGAGAAGGTGCCACGGAGTGAGGTGGGAACCCGGCAAAGCAGTCCAATCCACCTCCTTTCTGCTCCTCCCTACAAACGTCCAGGAAGGAGCTGAAGAGTTCTTGAAGAAGGAAGCAAGGTCAGGATAATCCCTGAACTCTGCGCCCTGGCTCATACCCCCAAGCTTGCCGGACACAGGAGACTGAGACCCACCCCGTTTCCTTCTAGGGGGAGCACCTGGGCAAGAGGGCGGGCTCCGAGCTGGGTCGCAGCGGGTGCAGCAGCGGTACAGGAGGCGGGGACCCGCCCGCGCCACCCGCGCCCGCGCCCGCGCCCCGCGGCCTCACCGAGCGCGCCCAGCTCGGCGGCCGCCACGTGCTCAGTGAGCACCACCCCGAAGCGCCGCAGCCGTGACACGATCCTTCCGTACAGCGCCCGGTCCTCGCGTCCGCCGCGGATGCTCCCGCAGAAGTACAGGGCTCTGCGACCCGGCTCCCCCGGCTCCCCGCGCTCCCGCACCGCGGCCGCCATCCTTGCAGCCGCCGCACACCGTCGCGCGCCAGGGGGCGCGTGCCCGAGGCCACGTGACCCGTCCGGGCCGGCTGGGCGCCCGCTCTGAGCTTAAGTGTCCTCTCTCCTGTGGGATGGGGCGGGGACGGGGTGGGAGGATCCAGCCGTATCCGCCCGGGACCCGCCCCTAAGCGGACTGGACATTCCGATGTAATCTATATTTCGTTTTTTTAACTTTTATTTATTTATTTTTTGCAGTTTTTGGCCGGGGCGAGGTTTGAACCCCCGACCTCCGGTATATGGGGCCGGCGCTCTACTCCTTGAGCCGCACGCGCCGCCCCTACATCTCGGAGTTTTTGGTTTTTGTTTTTGAGACAGCGCCAGTCTCTGCTGCCCAGGCTAGAGTGCATGGCCTCAGCCTAGCTCACAGAACCCTCAGACTGCTGGGTTTCAATCCTCCTGTCTCAGCCCAAATTCCTGTGACTATGAGTGCCCGCCACAACACCCACTTCATTTTTCTATTTTTATTTTTATTTTATCTACTTATTTATTTTTGAGACAGTCTCAGTCTGTCGCCCAGGCTAGAGTGCCATGGCGTCATAGCGCTTAGCAAACTTCAAAGTGCTGGGACTACAGGCCATCATGACGCCCAGTAGTTTTTCTATTTTTAGTAGAGACGAGGGTCTCGCTCTTGCTCAGGCTGGCCTCAAACTCCTGAGCTCAAGTAATCCATCCGCCTCGGCCTCCCACAGTGCTAGGATTACAGGGATTACAGGCATGAGCCACAGCGCCCATGCCAAATCTGCCACCCACCACCGTCACCGCCACCGCCACCACCTTTGGTTCAGCCTCCATCCCACCTCTCTTAGCAGCCTTCAGGTGGGTCTCCCCTTTCCCTACTGCGACCTGCTCTCAGCTCAGCAGCCATAGCAATCCTGTGAATGTGACCCGCCTCTGCTCAGAGGGCTCCAACGGTCCCCATCTCACTTAGGGTAAAAGACGAAAACCCCCTAGTGCCCCAAACAATCTGGTGTCCCTCCTACCTCCCTAACTCCAGCCAGCTCCTATTACTCTCGCTCACCTTTCTGATGTGGGGTTGGCCTCCTGGCTGTTCCTGAAGCATGCCAAGTCATTACCTGGTGTCAGAGTCACTGCATTTGCTATTCTCTCTGCCTGGAACTGTGTTCTCCCAGGTAGCACCCTGGCTCCCTCCTTTACCTCCTCCAAGTCCTTCACACTTCACTTTCCCTGACCACCCTATTCAATATGGCAGCCCTCTCGCCCCAGGTATCACCCTTCTCTACCTTGCCTTTTCCCCTCCTCTTGTGCCTTATAACTTATTAATTTTGTTGTATGTCTTTCCACAACCAATAAAATATAATTCTTTACAAGAGCGGGAATTATTCTCACTTTTGTTCACTGCTGTGAACTTCTAGAACTGTGCCTGGCCCATAAGAAACATTTATCAAATATTTGTTGAATGAATGAGTGGTTTAAATGAGAGAATGCCTTTGACAGCACTTTGTAATCTGCTCTGCTCTTCAGTAAGTAGGTTGATGGAAGCAATATCTTCAGGGAGACAGACAGACACACCTTGCTCACCAGTAGTAATATCCCCACATATGATTATGACAGTAACAAATACGTGACAAGAAATTCAAATGGAATAAGAGGGTGTGCAGTGGAGAGAGTCCTGAAACCCCCAGCCTCGTTTCCCAGAGGAAAGCACCATTAATGGTTTCTTCTGCATTCTTCCTGAAAGGTAACTATTAAAAATACCCAAGTATGGCATTACAGAGAAGACATAATAATAATTTTTTTCTTTAAAAAGCTTTGTTGGGTGGCACCTGTAGATCAATCGACAAGGGCACCGGCCACACACACCTAGGGTGGCGGGTTCAAACTCAGCCCCGGCCTGCTAAGCAACAATGACAACTGCAACCAAAAAAAAAATAGCTGGGCATTGTGGTGAGAGCCTGTAGTCCCAGCTACTTGGGAGGCTGAGGCTAGAGAATCGCGTAAGCCCAAGAGTTTGAGGTTACTGTGAGCTGTGACGTCACAGTACTCTATCAAGGGCAACAAAATAAGACTCTGTCTCAAAATAAATGAATAAATAAAATAAAAATTAAAAAGCTTTGTTTTTCCTAGATGTTAATATATTAATAC